GAAAAAAAAAACAGCCAAATGGCCGCCATGGCTACGATGCGATAGTTTTGCTTATTGACGTAGCCATCGAGGTGGGAATGAGGCTCATTAGTCTAGCTGATTTCTGTATTGCGGTCCGACAAAGTGCTTCACGGTGTATTAACACCAACAACGATGTCTACGCCAGTAAAGAAGAAGAAGAAGATAATAAATATTATCAAACGAGCATTCCTACTTAGCAAGCTCCTTTAAGATGCTGGGATGTTTATGCTGAACACACATTGAAATGATCTACCCATTCTCAGCAGCTTTGATTCCTCTGACTCTGACCTTCTGCGCCCGGTCTCGAGTTTAAAGCAGTGTGGATTGTTGCTGGTTAACGGATTAGATTTTCCGATTTTGTTTTAGTCGGGCCCCTGGGCCGGTTGAGCCGGAGGTGGGCAACGCTGGAAAATAATTACCATCGCAGCTCACATTTTTGTTGCCTTTTAATTTTGTATTTCTATCCTTTGTGGGATTCATTCAAAGTTCATATGCAAAGGTGGTGTTTGCTGTAATTCAGCTTTTAATACAATTCATATACGAGGTGTGTTCAAAAAATAACGTGAATTTTGTGTTTTTTCAAAAATTATTTATTTATTCATAAATATCTATTTTGTCCCCTTCAAAGTAATCCCCATGATATATTATACACTTGTGCCAACGGTTTTTCCAATCTTCGAAGCACTTCAAAAAATCATTTATTTTATCTTGTTCAGCTTGTCTTGTTCAGAAAAAGTCACAGAGGGTCAGATCTGGGGAATACGGTGGCTGCGGCATCATTAGTGTTTTGTTTTTGGCAAAAAAGGCGTGCACAAGAAACGATGTTAGAGCAGGGCGTTATCGTGGTGCAAAAGCCAATTTTTGATTTTCCAAAAATCCGGGCGTTTCTGGCAGATTGCTTCGTGCAAATTGCGCATAACTTGCAGGTAATATTCCCTGTGCCAAGAACTCATGATGCACCACGCCCCTGCAATTAATTTTTTCGTCTGCTGCTGAAGTGCTCTTCGTCGTTCACATCTTCTCGGCCTTCTGAGAACATTTTGTACCACCGATAAACGTTGCTTCGGTCCAAGGTAGCTTCTTCGTATGCCACAGTCAATATTCGGAATACATCCGCGCACTTAATTTCGTTTTTCACACAAAATTTGAAACAGGTTCTTTGATCCATTTTTTTGAATAGGTAAAAATCGAAGACCATCCAAAACACGTGCAAGCAAAGCAGCTGTCAATAATTTAGTGAACATTCGAAATGGCCGAGCTTGTCGGCATAAGCGACAGACATCAGTACCAACATAACGCCACAAAAAAATCAAAATTCGATTATACGTAACCCGCAAAAATTAAAAATTCGCGATATTTTTTGAACACACCTCGTATATATTAGTAACGTGACAAAGTAATTCAAATCGAAGCATATTAAGCGGAGTTAATCTAAAGTTAAGTTGTAAAATCAAACCAGATTGACAGGGAAACAGCTTGCGAATGCTATTAGTGAATTGCAAATGAATGCATTAATTACTGCAAGTGGTGTAACAAGATCTGTTTGAGCTACTTAGCATTTAAGTGGTTTTCAAACTCATAGTTACATGCATATATGTATATGTACATTTAACTTTGCTGAATAGTTGTTTAAGTGTAAATTGAATCAAAGCAAACACGATAATGTAATTTAAATTGTAAAATAATAATTAAACAATAAACATGCAACGTTTTTAAGTGAGTAAACAACTAAAGTCTATTTATGGCTATTATTTATTGATTTAACTGTTAAATTATGTGGTAAATATGTATGTATAATATATAGTGAATTAGAGAGGATAGTGGAAGTGAATCATCTGTATATTGTTTTTATGAATGTGAATTGAGAACGTAGAAAATATTTATTGAAAACTTAATTAGAAACGAGCAAAGTTAATTGGTAAAGCCGGAAATTTGAAATTCGCAGTTTTATTGTACAATACTTTTCTAGTAATTTTCAAATATCAACCTCTCGAAGTGTGCATATTGTAATCATTACTAGGTGTGATCAGTAGATTCACCTCACTTTTTCTTAATTTTTTTTTTAATGCAGTAGAAAAATGGAAATTTGGAGAGTCATAATATTATATATGAAAACTGTTTCGGCGACTATAATGCTAGTACATTTGTACACACCTAAATATGTATATAAAAGTAATTAACCTGAATGACCTAGGGATCTACATATTCACAGACTAAATCTTTGCTCGTAGGAACGTGAAGGCTCTGTTCCAGCGTTTGAAAAACTGCCAGTTGAACAGTAACAACACTAGATTTTCTGCTATTCATTTGCTGCCATAGTTATTAGTTGCAAGTATTTACTTTAGCTTTTTCTTTCACTGTCGAAATGTGCACAACGATAGCAAAGTAAACTGCATTCATGTAAAAACTATGCTGTGAATCCTACAAAAGTGGCAGCAAAGTATGCAGCAGCAGAGCATGATCATTTTGCTGTCGGTTTCTTTTTAGTTTGCTGCCGCGCTGGCTGATAAATGCAAAACGACGGCATTTTGATGTTAACATCAAGTAAATTAAATAAAATTTACTTTGGCATTAAAATTTGCTATTCAGTAAATTTTGTTACTATTTCGTATTGTGAGTTCCCTGTCGCTCTGTAAAATTTGCTACCCGCGAAATAGGAGGTAACAAACAATCTGCTGTTTGAGTTTATGGCTTAATAAACAAATAAATAAAACTTATTTATTTTGTTGCGTTTCGTCTTCCATTTCGATGTGATCATTCTTCTGCCAACTGGTAAATGTAATTTGACTTGTCGAAAAAGCACTGCTGCCAAAGTTTAGCCAAACAATATAACCTATGCGCCAGAGTATCAAATTCAATTTCGGGTGTTAACAAAATTTACATTACCGGCTACAGTGAGAATAGGCCTGTTAGTGTGCATTATATAGCCGAATACAGATCTCTTTTGCATGCCTGTTAACATGAATTGTTACATATATTGTTATATATGTTTATGCTGTCATGATGGGTTTCGATTGACATTATTGCAAACAATCCATTTTTCGTCTCCAGTTATGATTTGTTTCAATACCTGATCATATTCATAGGGCTGAAGATGCATATCACGAGTCCAAGACGTTTGCTATACCCAACTTCTCTCCGATCTCACGCTGAGTTATATGACAGTCCGATTCGATTAAAGCCTTGATATCGTCATCATCAACTTCACTTGTCTGACCGAACGTGGCTCATCTTTGAGTGAAAAATCTCCCGAACGGAATTTGACAAAACAACACCATACAATTTTTGTAACCTTTTAGCAAACTGCGCTGCACTTTTTCCTTTAAGGAAATAAAAAAAAGTAAATATGGCGAAAATGTTCGTTTGTGTTCTCCATATTTAGATTACCGCCAAACAAAGAAATTTAAAAAAAAAATTAAAAACGTTTTTTTTCTCAAAAAATCTAAAAGTGACAGCTTATAACTGCCAAAAGAAAAAATACAATACAAATACAAATGTCTGTATAAAAAATCGTTGGTTTATTTTAGGCCACGCAATAATTCACTTACCTGAATCCTACTATCTGCAATTTTTTTTGTATAATAGTAATTCTTAAAATTCTTCTTTTTCATAAACAAATTTTGTAACGACTTTCATACATCTTCCAATTCTTTGACCTTGAAGTCAGTGCAGTCTATCTACAATAGATTTTCATACAGAAGTACTTTCAGTACCTTTTTAAATTAGGGTAAGCAACACTGAGTTCGTAATATCTTTTCATAAAATGCTGGAAAAGCGGAATGATATCGCAAAACTATTGCAAATTTTCTGCAAAATGAAAAAAAAAACCGTGGAAAAACGGTAATAACCTTACAATTACAGAAGCAGATCAATGGTCCATACTAGTAACTAAACAAAATGCCTTAGTGACTTAGTCTAAGGAGTGGCAATGCGTCAGAAATTCAAAGTGGACGGACCAGATGGATATTTTGTGATTTGATGATTTCCGCTCTTATCACTTAAACAAGTCGATTAAATATTTAGTACAACACTTTTAAATTTAACCTAATTGTTAAACAGGTCTGTGAAAAAGCATCTTTTCATAATTAATTTTTTTAAGAAAAAGCGTTCAAAAAGATCTCCAAGTTGAAAATTTTATTAATGAAAAGATCAAACCAATTCCGAACAGACACTTTTCGTGTTAAAGTTTTTTGTATTATGAAAAACTGGGACGTACAGTCTTCTTTCTTTCATCAACACACAAGCCATAAATTGCAGAAGGTCTCGTCCCAAAAACTGTTTCAGTGCTTCGAAAAGTACTTTATTATCTATGGGGTCTCAAAAATGAATATTTCAGACAATTTCGGTAAAGATAGGCTTACGTTAAAAATTTGTGGATTCGGTTCTACTGAGTCTGTTTTCCACACAAAAAAAACATTTTCTTCAGAAACAAAGAGCTTATGGCCGTCTCAGATATAGGAGTCACAAAATAAAGCGTGGATGTGAGCTGGCGTCTTCAACGAAGTTAATTTTTTTTATAGTACGCTTCTACGTCGCTTCTCTAGTTGGCATCTTCACCATTAAAGTTATAATTGAGGGAGTAACGATGGTCACTAGTTTGCAAGTAAATTCTAAAAAGTGCAGAGTTCGGGGCTCAATTTTCTTCCATTGAGATTATTCGAGTCTGAACTTAGCTAAACAATTATATAACATAGTTATGTACATCAAGTCTAAAGTGATTGAACCTATCGATTTGAAAGAGTTGACAAGAACCATTTAAACAATTTCAGTACACATAAATATTTGATCAGGCATGAAATCAGTGATCCCTCTAATACTATACAGTCTTCAGGTTGGTGACAGAAATAAAATACTTTTGTTTTTTATGTAGTTTTGTGAAAAACACAATCGTCATACAAAAACGGTTTCAGACAAACAAACCGCTTAAAAAGTCTGTTTCTCAAAATCCTGAATTAATAATAGTTCAAACAAAAACTCACCTTTCTTACTGGCACCCGCTTTATGCAGTATCTGAGTTTGCTTCACATTTGGTGGCGGTGAGTGTGACTCTCGCGGCTTCTTCGGTACACAAAGATCCAATGGCTGATCCATTATGCTACCGCCAATATCCTCTTCACTAGCTTCACTCACCGAAGTGCTACGCATGTGTGTGGGTTCGCGTAGCGGCGATTGCGGTTGTTGAGTGAATTGTTGTTGAAAATTACGCAAAATACTTTTCGGCGACTTTGCGGGCACTGGCGGTAGGGTCGCGCCAGCGGCATTCGACGAAGAATTCGATGACTCATCTAACGTTGGAACTATAACATTACTGTTGGTATTGTTGTTAGCCAACAGCGTACGCTGCTGCTGGAGACACGGCGATAAAGTGGCACGCCAACCGAGTATGTCGGCGATGGCGTGCGGTGTTGGGCGCGTCGGTGGACGAGCATACACGTGCGGATGCCAACTGTCTGGCGCAGTGCTGTCAGCTTTGATTTCGAGATCATATTGTGGTTTGGTTGATTTCAGTACAGGTGACGCTGCGGCAATGACATCCAAACGACGTGGATGTGGTGTTTTCGAGCGCGGCGGTGGTGGTGGTGGTGGCGGTGAGAGTGGCGTATGTAGTTGTGGCGCGGACAAATATGCCGTCTCCAAAAGTACGCCACTCGTATTGCCGCCATTCGTGTAGACGCTGGTGGGCGATGGTCGCGGTGCGGATTCGAGTGTCTTCTGTAGAAAATTACCCATAATGCGTTGCTCGGGTTCGCGTACTTTCAACAAATTGGTGAGCTTCTCTTTACTGCTCGGACTAATGCAAGCATGACTGGCGGCCAAATGTTGCGCTGTAGCCATGTTGTGATTTAGTGCGCTAATATTGTTGTTATTATTCATGCTGAATGCAGCGTATTGCGGATGAGAATGCGGTGGTATGGTTAATGGGCTCTGGTAGACATATGAACTGGCAGCGGCCATATTAAAGTGCTCCTGTTCGGCTAGTGTGGCCTGCAGACGGGAGTGTGCTTTGTATTTTTGTTGTTCTTTCGCGAGTAGGGCGGCGGTGCTGAATATGGGCGCATGCGCTCCACTAACCATTTCAGCTACAGCGTCACGATCAATTTCTGGCATCATTTATGCACGATGTGTGGGATTGATGTCTTATGAGTTTTTAGATCAATGCTGTTGACTTCAAGTGCGGTATTAAGTGCTGTGGAGGAGAAGAAAAATTAAAACGCAATTTTATTTTATTGTTTCTTTTAATGTAAAGATTATTGTTATTAATGAATTATTTATACAACCACGTATGTATATATAGAAGTATTATGTCTATAAGTAATAGTTTCCAAAATTTTTTAAGCCTTTTTTGAAGTAGTTTTCGCCATTCCCTTTGCTCCCATTTCCATCTCAAAAATTGTTTTAGCGGTTACAAAGTACCAATTATATTTATATATGTATATGCAGGTGACAGATATATGATGTTGCCACAGTTGAAGTATTCTTCTCGAGCATTTTTTTTCTATTATTCATTTATTGCAGATAAGTCGTTGTTAAAGCTAAATCGCCAGTTCAGGTTAATTTATTTCACCTTTCAACATTTCTTATTTCTATTACATATTTCTATTACTGAATAATAACTGGAATGGATGGATAGATTAGCCTAAAGGACTGCTCATACAGACCTGAAACAAATATTTCTCCGAGTAGTGGACCTGGGATTGAAATATAATTTATTTTTAAATCGATTTATTTACTTTGCTTGAGATGAAGCTCTTTTCCTATATCAATCGATAGAACTTGGGAACGATCTATTCTGTCAAATCGTACATATTTTTCGTTTTGCTAAATATTTGGAACATATATTGCTCTTTTTTCAGCTTCAATATGTGGGAACTATTTTTTTCGAGAAGTGGAACAATGATCCAGCTGTTTTAAAAAGTAGGGGTTTTGTTCCGGGTAAACAAAGTCGCGGCGAACTCTAGCACAAAGAAAAATGCAGACATCTTATTATTTTTATTTATTTCTTTTATTTATTTCATTTTAAAATGATGTTTTAACTACTTTGCTTATTTTTCTATCCAAAGGAGATGAATTTTTCTGGTAGTACGAGAAAGTCGAAACACGTTTAATGTCAGATAGCAATGAAGGCGACTGCACTTTTAAATTAGCAACTCACAACCGTTTATATGCACACATTTGCATATATATAATATAATATATATATAAATATTTCATACCAACATCAGCATTATTTAACAGCCATTTATATGTGAAGTATACATGAACACATTGAACCGTTAACTGAGTTTCCTAGCGCCTTGACAACAACTTAATTTGATGCAGTCAAATTGACATTTTTTCTCATTGAGTGATAGAGGAGAGTGAGTAAATTAACAAAATTCTGAAACAGTAAAAATGTGTGGTGTAATATTACACGAGAATTTCAATTATAATAACTCTCACTAAATTATTTCCAACTACAAACTAAGCGCACTGGTAAATTTTTAAGCTTTTATAGTTAGATTCCTGCAGCATAGTCTTAGACTACATGTAAATTACATTTAACATTTTTTTAAATCAGTGTGCCACTGTTTGATGTTTAACTGCTGGTGGCCTTAGGAGTGCAAGCGCCTGCTGTTGGTCAACCCCACTTTTTCAATTTGCTACTTTTTCTTGTGTAATTCACTAACCTTCAGCAAGAAGTGGTACAAATTAACTAGTATATGTACATACAACTACGCTCGGAAAGTACTTGTAGTGCAGTTATATCAAATGACTATTTCCCAATTCCATTGATGCATTGTAGAGAAATATTAGAGCTGCGGTAGAGAGTTAGTGAGAAATCATGACATCGGTTTGTGCATAATAACTTTCAACCGGAACTAGTTCATTAAAAAAATATTGCTATATAAAAGTGAACAAATTATTTTAATATAAATATTTGAAACAACACACAAAAATACTTGAGTGTACTCATAGAAAATTTCAACCTTCTGTAGTTTAAATTCGTAAATTTTTAGATGTACTCGCAATATTTTTAGTTATAGTTATATCTCCAATGTAAGTAAGTAAGTAAGTATATCTCCAATAGGTCAAGTAAAAAGTCATCCATAATTTTTGCTTTCAATTGAAGGCCCAGAATTATCTGAATCAATATTTTTTTTTTTATCAAATATTCACCATTTTGCTCGATAACTTTTTGGACTTTTGAAAGTAATATCATAAGGGGTCTCTCCCAGAATCTCTTTTCCCTATTAAAAAAAATTGTGTTCTTCACCAGTTGTCCGAGGTATACGGTGGGGACATAAGAACCTCCAAATGAAGATCCCGCAGCTCCTGGCGAGTTACCAGCGAAATATGTGGCTCGGCGTTGTCTTGATAAAACACAAATCCCCTGCTGTTTGCCAAGGCTTGGTGCTTTGCGGTAGAGAGTTAGTGTGGTAGGGTGATTTTTTCCTTTAAACATACCGATTGTTGAGAGTACAGGTCCATATTTAGAATTTGTTCGTAGTAGAGCAGCACAAATAAAAAAACCTTCCTGGCTATCAATCCTCAATGATTCCATTGTGGTTAGTGCTTATGCTGGTTTCTAAAAATATTAAATTATCAAGGACCCATTCGCTTCGATACTTTAGTTAGTCAGCTGCAAGCAAGCACTCGTTTACTTAATCCTTTTTCTTAATACTCTCAGTATCATCGGCATACACCAGCAGTTGTACGCTCTAATAAATGATTGTATCTTCTTTTTTTTTTAATTGCGCAGGTCTTACTATTTTTCTCCAGCATTAGGTTGAAGAAGTCATACAAAACTGAAGAGTCACCAAATCTGAAGCCTCTACAAGCGGACAATCGCTATTCGTACTTCCTCATGGTGATGTGACGGTTTGTTCTGCTTTGATTTCACTACCTCCAGGTTTTCCATTCAAGCTCAGATACTCTAGGCACTCGCCACCAGACCACCTTTCTCGTTTCTACAGGAAGAAGCTCTTGAAACCATTTGAAAGACTCCTACTTTTATCGTGGAATTTTAAAGCTTTTTCTCTCTCCTTTTTTTTTCTGTATATGCCTCTCGCTTTTCTCTTCAACTCTCGGTGTCTTTCCTGCACCATTCACATTGCGTTGTAGCTGTCCACATGATGCATTAAATGCGGGCCCACAGTTCCTCTATTCCGCGTTTGCTGATAAGTGGTTTTAGGAAGCAGGACTGCAATTGGAGCAGAAAACTGCTGTCTTTTGGGATTGAAGCTTTTCGAATTTGAATATATCCCGCGCTTGTAGACGGGCGTTTACCTGCGAAAAAGCGGATTCACGCTAACGGCATGTTGTGGTATGAGTAAGTTCAAGCACTCTACAGGAGAAATTCATTATCTCATACGCTAAACTGATTAAAAGATATCCGAGTCGTTATAGGCTGTCTGTCATTCTTAGTATTCAATGTAGGCTATTTCTTTAAATTTTATTTGTCTAAAGTAAAAATTCAACATTCATAAACTGACTAGTATTTAACTAGTATGAAGCTTATGAATGATCGTGTAACATCTATTTCATAGGAACTCGCCAAGTTAGAAATACCTAGCTGAGAGCTGAGCTATATTTATATATAAAAAGCGATCTTTGGCCGAGCTCTTCCTCGATGTCTTTCTGACAAATAAAGGGACCTACAATGTAATAAATTATATAATTCTCTGCTTTTAGGTGCATTAAATACACATTATTTTTTCTAGCCAAAATGACTAAATCCAGCCTTCTTATTATTTGCTCGAACAGCTCATCACTTTGTCTCCCTCAGCCATTTGTGTTCACCTTCTGTTGACCTGCTTTTCGTTTATAAGTTAATTAATGTTCTATAAATACTCTGAGAGATAGATAAATATACATGATGGTTACGATAGCGAGCCTACACACATACATACATATGTATATATAAGCTAATATGTTTATATATCGCTATAGATACATTGAGTACCACCGTTGGCATGAAAATGTAATCAACTCGTCCTCAAGCAACACATTCAAAAATATGTATATATACATATGAATGTTACATATTTACATTAGTGACTGTTTTACGTAATTAATTGTAATTGGAATGATGACGTAAAAATATATTTATATAAACGTCGATAAGATGACTATGTACAGAACATACTACAATAACAATTATTCTTCCTATATGATTTGTTTTAGTCCATTTATTAAATTTATATGTACATATGTATATATATTTGTATGTGGCTTAAATGTTTTCATGGGAACATATTAATATGTTTTGTTATTGTGAAGTTGGCAATTATATTTGGCCTATATTTATTTTGTTGGAGTGCATGTATATAATATATATGTATGTATATTTGCACGTGTATGTGTGTGTTATTTGTAAAAAGACGTGCTAGATGTTTCAAGCGTACAGAAAACTTTCTGTTACATGATAATCAATTTTTGAGAATAGCACTTGGTTAGTTCTTTTGCCAATATTTTATAGAGTTGCCAAGTGATTTCCAAATTTTTGTTTTCTGGTAAGACGAAAAAACAATTTTTGTAACACCGTTAATTAGGGTTTTTGCTTCTGAGAATTCTCATAAAAAAAAAATATTCAAAACTTCTCCTGATTTTTGCCCATTTTAATAATGCCGGAAACTCCTATGAAAAAATGCTGAAACGTATAGAAGATTTCAAGACCGAAGCATTTCCACTTCGCACCCAACAGTGTGATCTAGCAACTGATGCTCATAGTAACATATAAAAAGGGAACATTTCCTTCCAGAGAAGGCGTACCCGATCACTCAATCTTCCATTATACGACTATACAGAAACCAACCAGCCGTTACATGTCATATGGCATTATGGCATATTCAAAAGATATATTGTATCTGCTGGGTTACTATGGTTTATAATAGTTCATTTTAAAACCACGGTAGCCGATGGCTTAACGGCTGGCGGCGAACAGCTGACAAGGTGAATTTATAAACTTCTTTACAAAATTAGATCGTATGTGTGCATAAGCGACGATTGGAACCACATATGCTCCGCACAATCCACAAAAAGTTGAACCCTATAATCCGTGGCAATTATTGCTTCCTCAACATACCATAATATAAGGCCTTATCGAGAGTATTGTGTGAAGGACTGAAGCCCATTGTAATAAATTGATGCGTCCTCATCGGTGTGATTTGAGAATCTGAAAAATCTACCCACTAGCTATTCACCATA